TTTGCAAAAACATTCTAACTAGGCAAGGCACAGCTATTCTTTATTGAATTATACACAGGGAGTTTTGAAGTAAAACTAATGACTTCTTCTGTCACTACTCCACCCAGTCCTGGATGACCCTATGTCCTAAGTTCATGGGTACATAAAAATCAACTGTCCTCCTCTCCCCATGTAGATTTCTCTTATTACACTTTCTTCTGGTCATTTTCTCTCAAGTGCCAATTCCATGCACACAGCACTGAGAACCTATCACTACCATTTTCCCCAGGGTCCCAGGAGAGCTCACTATTGAGTCCTTCAGGAGGTGATCATAATTACTACAAAAATGGGGAAACTTCAGCTTAGTAGTAATAGGGGGGGCAGAAAACCAGGCATCTCAGCAGTTGCTACCCAACTCTGCTTTGCAAAAGCTGTTTCAGATGAGTATAATGCTCAATTAACAGCTGCAGACTGACAGAACTGAAACTGGACATCCTTCATATATTCATTTCACATCAGACCTCCCTGGACCATGAACATGAATACTCAGAGCTGGGGACTTACAAGCAAGCATGTGATTTTCATCTATTTTCACTGCAGCCTCTAATGCAATTATATTGCATCCAGAGTCAGGAACATTGACAAGAATTCCCAAAGCCATAACAACTCAGTGATTACTGTTGGGGCTGAATTATGGTTGTTGCGAAGATTCTCCAGTCTCCTGGGGCCTTCCTCTGCTTCCACAATCTCCGCAGGCCCAGGCCCAAAGGGCATGGCCAAGCTCTGAGCATCATCATGCAACCTTTCACAGAGTGGGCCAAAAAATACTTCACTTTGCAAGCAGTAATTTATTCTTACCACAGAGCATTCATCATATCAAGATTAAAGACACATGTGGGAGGCTTTGAGATTTCTAATTTTTCTTGCTGGGTATTCAGTTCTTTCTTGAAATACAAGTTTAGGAAACCCAGGTTATTTAGGGTTATAGCAATCCCACAAGGTTCAAAAAATTCCTCCTAAAGAAAAGCAAAAAGTCCAACCCAGCTGGGGTAACTCCTCAGTGAGGTTTCTTTGAGGACTTCTAAAATTTTGTTTCCAGATGCCATTTGATGGGAACTACATGCCATGACCCGTATTTACTTACTGAGCTATTTTTCTTGATGAGGCAAAATACGTTGCTAAGGATACGTGCGCACATGATCAGGTCCTTCTGTTCTTGCAAGTGCATGTGCAGGTGATGTAACACGACAGGCAGGAGGATGTACCGGGAATCTGGAGAGAGAAGCATTAGTGTCACATCTGTAGAGTCCCATGCAAACCGCCTTATCTACTTTACAATCTATTTTTAATAGTGAAATTATTAGCACATGCAGTTAAAAAGGTATTAATTCTCCAAGGTCAATTCTGAGAAACAACCATTCCTTTCCCTAAGTCATGATTCCTGCACTTAGGAGGTCTTTGCTCTTTTCTTGAAATAGGTTTCTGCTGTTGCTGGTGCTTGTGTTACTTTTCTATTTCTGGAATTCTCCATGGTGTGCTTCTCTGGCTATTTCCTGATTTTTCATTACGATCTATCCTTTACTAACTACCTCCTATGGTAGATGAGGATTTAGTTTCTTTACTCCCTTCTTCCCAACCTCTCAAAATATTTATAATTTCAGGGGACAGCAGCATTATAGTTTGGCTGCCATTCTCATTTCCAACACTGGTGCCATTCTGATTTCCAAACCATTGTATATGACCAGATTTTGTTTTTGTTCTTTCTCTCTGAAAACTTAAAAATATTTCTGGTAATTCAAAATTTCATTTCCTTTAAATCTAGAAACTTGCATCCTTCAGCTCTGGGAATTTACCTTGAACTAGCCTTCTAGATTATCCCAACCTCCCGCCCCCCTTTTGTTTTTGGTCTCTCTGGAATGTTGACTACTTTCACATCATTGTCCTCTAATCTTCTCAAATATTTTAAAATATTTTTGTCCAACTTCCTAGGAAATTTCCTTCATCGTGCAGATAAAGATATCCACTTACTCAATTTTCTTATTAATGTATCATAAGTTCAATTTCTAGGAGTTTTTTACTTGCAAGGCCATTTTCAAGGGTGTGTAACCTGTATATTCATGCAGATTACTGTGTTCAGAAGGGTCTCATGAGTGATTTAATGTTCTTGTTACCATCATGATAACTCTTAATAATTTTCAAACAAGAGGTGTTACATTTTCATTATGCAGCCATTCAGTTTATTTCTTTGAATTATCTCTTTTTATAGCTTCCTGTTCTTTTTTCATAGGTGCTGTAACTTGTCTCTCTGGAGAAATCAGAGACTATCCTTTGATTTTTTTTTTTCTCCCTGAATTACCTTTGTCTTTCAATTTCTCATCTTTTGTTTCTTCATAGTGGCCTCTGCCTTTCATTTTAGAGGGTTTTTTTCCCAGTTTCTTGTAATCTTTCATTGCCGATTCCTATTTCGAAGTGAAACACTAAAAACACTAAGTGAAAAAGAAACCATAATGTGACCAGGCAAGTTTGTGGACAGCTGAAGCATCTCAGCAGGAAGGGGAGGCATCCAGATATTTAATAGAGGAGGCCCAAATTTCAGAATCTGAGGTGTCATCTCTAGTGCTGGTCAGAGGAAGCTACCAATCTCTTCTCTGGGGAGCATGAACCTATCATCTCTTCGTAATTTGAAATAATGGAAAAAGTGGTTGGTGAGGATGTCTTTGCTTAATTGTGAGGCTCTGTTTACATGGTAGAGTTGGATCCCCCAATTTAGCAGTTTCTGATTCTCCTGAATCAAAGACACATCTTACTCCCCTCCCAGAAAGAGTAAACTTTCCTCTTTTTTTTTTTTTCTGAAATGAAAGAGAGATTGGGGCCAGGTGGGGTAGTGTGCTAACTATTCCTTCTACAGAATTTTAACCAATTTTCATATTTCTAGCACCCTTAGTCTTCAGAGAGACCTAGTAATTTAAATTCTTGATTTTTTCTGAAGCCACCCTGAGTTGTCTGCAATTCTATAGTATAAAGTATTTATAGTTATATGTGATTACAGCTATAGCTATAGTTCCATGGCTCTACATGCCTACCAATTCCACATGCCTACCTATTTCAACCTTCTCTTGTCTGCTGTTCATTGCCATGTATCCTTGTAAAATCCATTTATGTCTCTTCTGTGTTGTCATCTCTCCCAATCTCCTAAACTTATGAGGTTATACCTTTTTAAAATTCTTTCACTGACCATAGTGAAACCCCTTTTAAAATTTTAGGAAATGAATTCCATCAGTATATGAAACAAGTATTACTTCATGATCAGATAATATTTACTCTAAAAACAAGGGTTGTTCATAGAGGGGAAAGCAATCCTATGACATAGGATCTCACTTGGTGAAGCCAACAGACCAAAACGTCAGATTTCACAAGGGTGATCCCAGCTCCCTTTGTGGATTTATAAATAACAAACCTGAATATTAGAAGAAAGTCTGATTTATTCCACCAAGGTCAAGATCTAAAATATTTAGAGAATTTTACCAAACAAGAGGATTTGTGCCTAAAAAGTGGCTCCAGTTTTTAATGCTAGTCTCTCAGCAAATTTTGTTCAGTATGCCTAAACTATTCAAATTTAATTGTATTACAATCCTTTTAAAATTTCTAGTCCATGTGTACTTCATGTGTAACTTTTTAACCAGAAGACAGAACAACTTATTGCTGGATCATGTTTTTTTGCAAATAAAAATACTGATATTCAAAAATAAATAAAAACAAGGGTTATATAACAAGTGAAAATCATAGTAGTATACTTTCGCCGGGGTAGAAAGATAAATATAGTCAATTCTTGCTATTCATGGAAGTTAAGTTCTGTATAGATGCTGGAAACAATTGAACTGAGAATATTAACTCTTCTAGGAAACTATATGGATACACATGTACATATCTGACATAGATCATATACTCTTAAATCCTGAAAACAACTCATCCAGGAAGATCTTATTTCTTTATTCTATAAACAAGGATATAAAGTTCAGAAGTATTAAGTGACTTGCCTGAAGTCATCCCACTAACAAGTCTAAGCTGGGATTCTAACCCTATTAACTGGCTCCAGACCAGAGCTCCTTGCACTATACTGCCCCCTACTGCCTGCATCTTATATGAAAATGGAAATGGAGACAGAGCAAGGCCTCGTTAACCTTGACTGGGAAGGCGTAAATTCTGCATCTCAAATTTTGCACTACTCTGTGTATATCTAAAAATGATGATGAAAGTGCCACAAGTACTGCTTTTGGAGTTACAAATAAATTTTAGCAAGTAAGTGAATCTGCGCATGTAGTTGACCACTCACATCAGCTGTAAGTCTTACATAGATTTGAAATGATAAGGTGATAAGTGAAAAACGGACCTATTCATTATAAATTTCAATCTTTAAAAAGTAACAGTAAATGTTTATTTTTTAACAAGTTGTCAAGGGCACAAAATTATTGTCTATTATATGCCCACCACAGACATATTATTTCTGGGCATGCCCACTTTTAAATGCACTAGTCCCTTTACCTGCTTTGCTTGGTTTTATAAAAGAAAGTCACCTGTGCGACAATTAGATGAATTATTCTTGGTTAATAAAAATTCATGTCTTATAGTTTGAAAAATTACAATGCCACTTGACTCAAGAAAAAAGTAGTATTAGTAGCTCTATAGATATTAAAGAAATTGAACTTTTAGTTAAGAACCCACAAGGAAAATTCCAGGCCCAAGTGGCTTCTATGGATTTTATAAAGACTTTAGAAAGAAATCATATCAAGGCTATACAAATTCTCCTAGAAAACAGAATATACAGGTTATTCAACTAACTCATTTTTTGAGGCTAGCATTTCATATGTTAAAATTAGTGAAGGACATTATAAGACAACTGTAGCCTAATATCCCTTATGAACATAGATGCAAAAACACTAGAAAATTTAGCAAATACAGTATATACATATATAATATTATATATAATATACAAAATAGGGTTCATCCTGGGAATGCAAAGTTGGTTTAACATTTGAAAGTCAATCTATCCATTCACTGCTAAAACTTTTCAAAGAGCTAAAAAGGTAATTTCCTCAAATTGATAAAGGGCATTAATTAATGAAATACTTTCCTTTAGCTACCATGATACTTAATAGTGAAAGATTAAATGCTATGCTTCTCCTTAAGATAAAAAAAAATTGTCAAGGCCTCCCTGGTGGTGCAGGGGGTTGGGCACAGCACTATGGAGCAATCCGAAGCCTCTGCAGCACAAGTTCGATCCCCGGCCGGCCAGGGAGCAACCCACATGGAGCAGCAGACCTCTCCTGTCTTGCCCACTGCTCCCCTCAGCAGTGTATTTCAGTCAATCTGACAGTTCTGCTCCCCACTCTGTCTCTGGTGAATCCTCTCACCCCCATACCTCTGGCCTGTACCCCAGCTCTTGTATGCATAAATAGATGAATCTTAAAAAAAAAAAATGGCAATTTCACCAATTCAATTAACACTGTACTGGATTCCATGAAGTGTTATAAAGCTTATTCATGGAAAAGAATACATGATTCTGCATCCTAATTAAAAAGTCATAAGTAATTCACAACTAGGAAAGGGGCTTTATCAGTGTTTGTCTTACTTCTCTTATTGTCTTTTATTTATTTACTTTTTTTTAGGAGTGAGGTTTGGAGTCTTGTATTTCCTTTAATGCCTGCCAGAGATTTACCAACAACACAAGAAGGGCTGGTCTTAGGTTTACATCAAAACAAACCACATAGGCATAGTCATTCTTAACTTTAAGACAAAGAACACAGAATATTAAAACCTAAACTTTTGAAATAATTCCTTGCAGGTTTCCTTTAAATAGTAAACCTGGCCAGAGTACTTATGTGATTATTTTAAATCAATTGACAAAAAGAACCAAGAAATAGAAACTAAAAGCTTAGATGACTGGAGTCACTACCTAGTGATGTTTAATTATTAAGAAGATAGTTTATTGGATATGTATTTGACTTTTAAAAAATTCAATTTGTAAACAAACAACTTAAAAAATAATGCAAAAAAGGTAAAAATAAAATTGGTGCAGTATGTAGAAAAAGAATTATATGATTATCTAGTCTGCAGATTTGCCTTTTCTTCATTATCAACAATGTCAGCCAATGCAAATGATAGAATTGGTGGGTGATTGCCAAACAAGCTGACTGGTTAAAATGCTAATTCTTACCTTTAAAAGAAAATACCTGGACTCATTAAGTAAGTTCAAAGAAACAGAAAACCCACAG